TCATCTTTGCAAGTTAATTTGAATAGTAAATATTATAAGAAATTAGTAAGTGTTATACATTTTTAAAAAGGTTATTCTTTGTAGATTTTCACAACATACTTTATTTATATTTTGTATTAAAAATTACGTTTAAATAAATCGAAAATGAAATAAGGACAAAAACCTGTGTTTTTAAAATTGATTAAGAGTTTTGACACTTACCAACGTCCTCCCTACTTTAGATTCGAATGTTAAATGGTAGCCTAGTTCTTAAATAATAACATATATAAAAATTGGCTGCGCCTTTTTGCGCTTTTCGAAGTTATTGGTACAAATATGATAAGAGTCCGAGAAACGGAAAACCGCTATCTGCTGCGGTTTCGAGTGTTGATTGTTTCTATTGATAGTTTGAGGTAAGTTTTGTTATTTACTATTAAAAAAACATAGTTATGACAAACTTTATCAGTTTTGCACGCATTATGTGTGTGAATAAATTTATCAAAACTCTGCACACGAACCTTTTTTTTAAATGGTATATAAAGGGCTGATTTTATAATAGTTCATTACAGATTCAAAAGATATTAATATACGCGCGTTTGTTAAGGACAGACATTGTATTTTTTAACATTGAAATGTCTACCTTCAAGTTGTCTAAACGTGAAATAATACTTTCGTATATCGAAGGAGGAAAAACTATGGAAGCAATATCAACTCTTTTGAAAGAAAATCATCAAATCTCTGAAGACAACATATGCTTCATTATCAGTGACATTCAAAGACGTATGATTCCCGTTTTCAATACAAAATGGGAGCAAGCTTTCTCGGAAAAAAGAAAGGTTTTTGAAGAACAATTGGCTGGACTTGGAATATTCTGTGACTATACCCACTTCAGAAGGCGTTTTAACCGATACCACTCCATCTACATCTTCTGGAAAACGTGGAAGACCATGCATATCTTACGCAGACTCGTCACAATCAAGCAAGAAAAGAAAAAACCCAGTGTTGCTTAATGAATATGGATTTGAGCATATTTATAATGCATACATACAGGGATTACGTTCGATAGAAGAAGGAACGGAAGCAAAACTTGTGGAAACATTAAGATTTGCTGACAGAGAAAAGAAGATATTAATCTCGAGTCTCATAGAAAATCCAAGGCAGAATAAAATGCTTATAGACGAAGAAGCATTAAGCATTTTGATTGACTTAGATTTAACGAAAGCACAATACTTGTATTTGAGAAATTTAACAGACGAAAGAAACTGTTCTATATTCCCACCATATTACAAAATACAAGAGATTAAACAAACCTGCTATCCACCATCTGCAACTATTGAAATTACAAACATAGGAGCAAAAGTAGTAAAACTTCAAGATTTATTAGATCACACAGCAGCCAGGATTTTAAGAATAGATTCTGTATATAAAGATGGATTAAAACATTTACTTCTTTACAGTAAATGGGGATGTGATGGTTCATCAGGACAAAGTCAGTATACACAGAAGCTTCCAGAAGAGTCTGAAGTTGTATCAGATGCTAACTTATTTATCACTTCTTTAGTACCCATTAAATTAATTAATGAGCTAACAGGAGATGTAGTATGGCAAAATCCTGTACCTTCGTCTGTACGTTTTTGCCGTCCTATATTATTAGAGTTTTGCAAAGAAACGCCTGAGAAAACTAAAGCCGTTGTGGATGACATAAAATTGCAGATAAATTCGTTGATCCCAACTTTGATTAATAGAGAAGGCGAGGGAGTTCAAGTAAAACATGAACTTTTCTTAACAATGATAGACGGTAAAGTAGCTCAAGTATTAACAGAGACACCTTCTGGCTCCACATGTACAATATGCAGAGCTACTCCACGGCAAATGAATGATTTGACGAGAGTGACTGCTAGGCCTGAAAATGAAGAAAGTTATCAATACGAACTTTCTACATTACATGCCTGGATACGTTGTATGGAGATGATTTTACACATTTCCTACAATCTTTCTTTTAGAACATGGTCTGCAACGACTGAAGAAAAGAAAAGACAAAAACAAGAGAAGAAAACTCTAGTACAGAAACGTTTTCGTGATGAGTTGGGACTGATAATTGACCAACCACGTCAAGGAACAGGAAATAGCAATGATGGCAATACTGCTAGGAGATTTTTTTCTAATGCAAGTTGCTTTGCTGAAATTACTGGTGTGGATGTGACTTTGATAAAACGTCTCTACATAATACTACAAGCACTTTCATCAGGTGTGATGGTAGATGCGGAAAAATTTGGTAGTTATGCTATGGAGACTGCCAGGATTTATGTCAGTAATTATGAATGGTACTATATGCCATCCTCAGTTCACAAAATCTTAATACACGGAGAAAGTATTATAAAGCATTTTGCAGTGCTTCCGATTGGTCAACTTTCGGAAGACGCACAAGAATCCCGTAATAAGGATTACAAAAACTATCGCCTTCATCATGTCCGAAAATGCTCCCGAGCAGCCACAAATGAAGACGTATTTCATACTCTTCTTTACACATCAGATCCATACATAACAAGCATTAGAAAACCATACAGCAAAAACGTTAAAGAACTCGATGAGGATACACTACATCTTTTGAAAGTGAACGAATTAATTTTAGATCGGGAAGCTCGGCAAGTTTAGTTGGCAAAAATATATTAATAAATATTTATACAAACCATATAGGTATAAATTGCAATAGGTACATTAAACCTTTAATGTGCATTTAAAATAATATTAATAACTTTCAATACACTTTTTTTTTCAGTTATTGTTTAAAGTAGAATTAGCTTTTCATATTTTTATCGTATCTTGGTAATGTAGTTGCATATTTATGTCTTAATTCCTACGAAACATAAACAGTTACTAACATAAAAATGAATAAACTCCATTTATTGATCGTTTTTATTGGACTTTGATTTTTAATATTTTATAATAAAATATGTATTATACTAATTTATACCAAACTATCACATTCGAAGCCTTATATATTCCTCTACAATAACGAAAAATTTCAAGACATAATTTTAAGAAACAAAAAAGTTATTGATTTTTGATCCGAAACGCACCCATATTTTCCATAGTGTGACGAAGGAACAGGATTAGTCCACAATACTTCATTAGTGTTGGTATCAATAAGTCGCAATGGCACTAAAGATGATATAAATAAATTAGAGTCTGAAATTAGATTCTCTCTCTCTCTCTTCAGACAGGGGTTGTTTGTATTCGCTTTGTCCACTTGATCCATCACAGCCCCATTTGTATTTAGCATTAAGTGGGTTGAACCCACTTTATAAACATCATTAATTTTTAGAAGTCTGGCTGAAGTGTGATCTAAAAGATCTTGTAGTTTTATTTGTGCTTTTATGTTAGTAATTTCAACGCTAGATTCTGGTGGATAGCACATTCGCTTAGCTTCACGAATCGACTTGTAAGAAGGAAACAATAAGCAATTTTTTTGTAATTAAACAATTTCTCATATTGTCATACTGTGCCTTGTTCAGATTTAATTCTATAAAAATGCTGAGTGCTTCGTCTTTTGAATACGCTGTTATATGTGCTGGTTCATTAAGAAGACTATTGCGTATTTCACTTTTTTTTTTCTGACGGCAATGTTCGTAAAACTTCAACAATTAAGGCTTCTTCTACTTCGCCACGAGACTTTAAGCCCTGTATGTACGAGTTCAATATGAAATCAAGTCCACATGAATCAAGCAATTCCTTGTTTTTACGTTTTTTTGTGCTCACTGAACTATCTTCGTACGTTTTAGAAGGTCTTCCTCTTTTTTCTTCTGATGTAGAAGGTTCAGGTTGGCATGTAGTTTCTTCTAGTTTCACCGTGAATATGCCATCCAACCAATTGCTGTTTTTACTTAAAAACAGATCTTTCTTTCGACCCGCTTTAGAAAAGCGTTGACGAAACTGGTTTATCAAGGATTTTTGAATATTTGCTATAATTTTTGCTATGGTTTCATCTGAAGATTCTGTGAAATTGCTTCGTATATAATGTGTAATAGAAACAACATAATTCGAATCACTTTCAATCAACACGAGACTTAAGTCGCGTCTGGTGCACGAGAATTCACTCGTTACTGCGTAACAAACTTTTGCTTATAACAAAAACTAATGAAGAACTGTAATGTTTAATGAAAAAGTCACTGTTTTATACTAAATAATGACAGAAGACGAGTGCAAAATTACTTGATAAAAACTAATTTATCATAATGCGGTTATGCGGTTTTTAATGGTACTGTTTGTCAATTGGAATCAAATTCTGTGAGAAATATGTGATAAAAATACCGCAAAATATAAAATATAATCTAACAATAGTGTCATATGCGTTTTTTGACGGTACGGGCAGAAAATTCCGAAAAATAGAAACTCTTAATGTACGAAATTAAGATTAATAAAAAGTTTACTGCATATTTTACGAAATTAAAACATGTTCCGCACTGAAACCGCAAGAAATTTTTGTTTGCCATCTAAGTATATCATATTTCTTACAAAATAACACAAAAAATAGAACTTCGGCAAGCTTCGGCAACTGTCATATCTCAAAGTCAAAGATTAGAAAAAGAAAATATTACATATGATGTTTATATATTTTTGTTTAAATAATGTTGTGCTAAATTACACATTTTTTTATATCTGAAAGTAAAGTACACATTCCAAGCTTTCTAAAATGGGGTAAAACTTATATGATTACTATTGTTTTCATACTATCATATCGAAGAAATGAAAGTTACAAAGTTGTTTTTGTATTTGTTTTATTCCTTATCTTCAAATGATTTCAACTGTGCTATACGAATGGTTAGAGATTTGAATCTTATTTATAATAATAGAGTAACTATTCAGCTACAATTTAAGGTATAATACATGCATCCCCGCATGCTTTTGTAAAAAGCATTTATGAGATAGCTCTCTTAAGAGGGTTCCCATAGTGCGACGCTCTAATGATTACTAATTGCGTTATTGCCTTCTTTATTCTTATTTTTACAGTTGGGCTCAATAATAGGATGAATAATGGGTCGAGGATGGTTCAAATGAAACAAGTTCGGCTATTTATTCCATACATATAATATACAGTTGATAGTCGATATAATATTTATCGACTGTAATCACTAGCTGCTCACAAGCGGGCAACACTTTTGCGCAATGAACTGTTATTTTACTCCGTCTTCAAAAAAGACAGACTATACTTTCTATCATTACAATAAAGGTCAACATCCAAATTTAGACTAAGGACAGTTGCCCAGAATGCATTAACTATTGGTGTCTACCACACTAGGGACACCCTGTAAGAACAAACTGCATTACCAACTTTACACTTTTCACTCTTAAAGGACCAAATTTGACAAATAATTACTATTAACACAAATGAAAGGCCCGTACATGTCTATGAAATAAAAAACATAACTAAAATAATTAACTAGTAGACTTACATTTTTAAATTCTTGACAACCATTCGACACCGTTCAAACTGCGGAAACCCTGATAAATGATGAATATACCGGAAATTATTATCAATATGGCATCCTGCATACAGCTGTCTGTTGATTATTTTGGACATGAAATGAGTTTAAAATCCGTTTTTCCACATTACAGTAAATTCAATTTATTGCTTCATATAAAGTTTACAATGGTCTTAAATAGCATGTAGGTCATTATTATATGATACCCTGTAAGGGCATAGCGATGAAGGGCAGATGACACCTATTTTATAAATAAAAACAATCTCTAAAACAACTAAACATTCTCAAAAAAGTATCCAATTAGTGATCGTAGCGCTATGTTATCAAAGTTACATAGTTAAAGTTCTGTTAAAATTTGACTCTTCAAAATGAAGCGAACAAATGAAGATGGTCTTTGATCCAACGTTTATATTCGGCAGTCCTATGATTTCCAACCATTCTTTCTTCCTTTTTCATTTGTAGGAAAACTTGAAATAATAAAAATAATAATAATAAAACAATAAAAACCTCGTAGTGAATTGTTTTAATAGCAGAATATCGATAATATGTATGCTTACAAGATCAACACTATCTCAAAATAATCGTTAACAACAATCGTCAAAATATACAAACAAATAGGCAATCTAAAGTAACAAAAGCAAAATTAGGCAAGATTTATGAATAAACTACTTATATAAGTCTAATCACGTGAAATATTTGGGCTTTTGTGTGATTTATAGACAAAAAAATAACACATGCCTATGCAATGTAACATTCTATTGATTTGCACTTTTTCTAACGCCACATCCCTTAATGCTGCAGCGTCGCATTTGTATTAATACCTAATTATTATCTTTGTCAATATTTTTGTCCAATTTAATTATAATACATGCGAATACTTCAATAGTACATTTGGAAAAACATTTGTTTTGACATTTGATGTACTTACTTCCCTTTGACAACGGTATCATGTACCTCATGTACTGCGAAATGGACACGGTTGGCATTTAAGATGACGTTACGTATTTTCGATTCCCGTGTTTGACACAGACCAATGTAATGCTATCTCTTTTGGCTTAAGACGGCACATAATAGTTAAACAAAGACAATAACACGTTTATGTTTTCGACGTCGAAATGCATCATATACATATAACGTCTGATTTATATATGTCGACGTAACATGTCCTTTAGTTTCCATAGTCTAAGGGTGCACCTAACGTTTTTTCGATGAAGATAATGACACGTTCAACTACGCAATTTGTCGTATATTATTTATGTAAATCCGTTATATTTTATTACTATTATTCTTGGCATTAAATTAACAGCGATAACTAATTTTATTTGTTATATTCAACTGTTGTTCTTTCATCTACGATTATCCTCGCTATAGTTAGGTGAAAAGTTGTGTGTTTTGCTCGGCAGCAAAGTTTACGCTCAGGTTAAAATACAAGCATTTGCGTCAAACAACAAATTTGCAGCCTTATATAACAAATAACTATTTGTTAGTTGTGCTGATATGGTACTTTGAATAGTGCCCTTGGATTCCATTATAATGTCAAAGGGATTTAGTATAAGACCAACAGGCGAACGGTAGCCTGGTTGCATTAATAATCCAACTCAGAGTTGCCTTCTCAACGGACTGTCAAACTTTTGGTATTATTCGTGTGGCATATTTATACTAAAGAAACTCTTTCACAGATTGGTCCAAAGTACTCAGTGCTAGCAGAACTAAGCTTCAATCCTAAGTCTCGAAAGATTGAAGTATCCGGAACGCTATTCTATCCTCCCGGAACACAGCTCTATCTGGACGCGGAGCTCAATATGACACTGCCCACGTTATATCCTTGCACTCTTAAGGCAAAGGTGCATGAGAAGCAGCCAAAAGAATTCCAAGTAAGTACAAATAATTAATCACACATTTATCCATCATAAATGGTCCGGTTAATAAAGTTGGACTTTAATACTACCTTCGGGATGAGAAAGACAAAATTAACATTTTTATCAAAATTTAGTTATGTATAATGATTAGCGAATCAAGCATAATTTCATCGTCACTTTTGTTCAAATATCGCCTCCAATGCATTAGAACAAGACCTGTCAGTGTGACACGGCCTTAGGGCTATCCTGCCTGTCAATCTAACGAGTTAGCTGCAACGATTTGGTCACTAGATTTTATTTTCAAAAAATACCAAATACGGGACATAAACTTTGATCGAGGTTTTCTCTAAAACTATTGTAGTGAGACTCATGGGAGTTTTACTCATGCATTCGGAATGAAACGTTTTCTGTGATTCTTTTGTTAACAGATACATGTCCGATTTTAGGGGTAAAAAAACGGTGTGCCACGGTACGAACCAGCGGACCTCACGAATTTTTATATGTGCTAGTTGTCGGATCTTGCTATTAGGTTTTCAACGACTTTTTTATCCGTAGCGCCATCTACGTGAAATCTATGAAAGTATTTCGTCACATTTTTTAATTTTTTTGTAGTAAGTTAAAACAGAAAGCTAAAGTGTTTTTTTTACTTTAGTTTTCTATTAAATCTTCTTAATTTAAAATACAATGAAATGTTTCTGTATAAAATATTAAGACATATTTTACTGCTGTCGATATTTTAACTTATACGCACAGTACTAAGTAAGTCTTTTATTCCCCAGGTAAACGCAGTCGGTGTGTGGTTCACTGGCGTAGACTTCAACATAGACGCGTTATATCAGGATCAATCAAAAACCAACATGGCGTCGCATCGTCTAAAACTTTTAATGAACAGTAAACACTTTAAAGACATTGCTGTCGATGCGAGATTTACTCAAGATAATCGACAGATCACATTCATCGGTCAGGTAATACTGCTGACAGAAAATATCGTACAAAATGTTTTGATACTCGTCGAAGATGACTGTAACGTTAATTTCTAAGTAACCCACATTTGTGAATGGGAAATGATAAGGACCAGTGCGAACCGGCAGACGGCAAGGCAGATAACTTTAAATTTGTCAATGTATATTTTATGCTATTATTATTACAATAAGGTATAAATTTCAATGCTCTGAGACGCAGAGAGAAATATGCCGCGATGATCCGAGGTCGGTCTTAGAGCAATACAATTTATACCTTCAAATTGAATAAAATACATTGATAAATTTAATGTCCTCTGCTTTGCTCCCGAACACAAATGAAATTGCAGCGAACTGAGGCTAAGGGCGCGTTCCCATTATATCGTAACGTGTTGTTTATCGTTGTATGACTGTCGCGTCTAGCCTGTTTCCATATCACGACTATCTTTCGTGACTGTGTTGTGGACGTTTATTTTGTCGTTGAACGACTGTCGTGTCTAGCTGTTCCCACTAGATCGTGACGACATTATCGTTTGAAGAATATGCCAAACTTCCGAAAGGAACTTACCGATGCAATATAGGTCAATGTGTAATATTTACGAACTGGTTTTAAAATCAGGTTATACGGCAAAGGTTAGTTTTTATTGCCTGTTTAAAATTCAGCTAAATATTTCATTTTAAGGGCGAATACAACGACGACAAATACAGAACACTTATGCGCTACATACTGCTATCTACGCAGAATTTCACGGCGTACGCAGAATTGGACGTTAACGGGAAGGCTTACAGTGTGAATTTGAACGCTGATCTCAATAATAACACTAATTTTAATATGGATGTTCATTTTGACCAGTAAGTATTTGATTAAAAGACTAATTTAATTGCCTGATCTCAAACTAGACAATTCCCTGTACTATGAGTACCAGAGCAATGGAATTCACTCCGGGACACCATGCATAACAACCAGAACAGAACCAATTCAGAAAAGTTAATTTCCTAAATTAGCCCTAGAATCGAACACGAGACCTACCCACCCAGCACCCACAGTACGTGCTGTTGGGTCACCGAGGTCGTCAAAATAATAAGCATCTAATAAAAGCAACGCCAACCTTAAAACAGGTACTCATTGATGTTTGACTAAAATACAGAATTACTCCATAAATAAACTAAGAGTCTCGTATGGTCTCGTGGGTTAAAGTTAACTTTAAGACCATAGATAATCCATGGTTTAGTGTTCAACTTCGTTTTATAATAGGGTTATATTTAGTCCATGGTTTATCTTCAAGTTAGACACTTATTGAAGTAATTTTTAAACGACGTGAAAAAAGGAGGAGGCTCGCAATTCGACTGCATGTTTTTTTTGTATGTATATTACGCGGTAACTTTTAGCTTCAGTAATGATCCCATTTAAATTTAAAGACAATATTCCATCTCTAAGGGTGGTCTAGGGGATGAATCCGGTTTCGCGCACTTTCTGGTAACCGATTTCAATAAAACTTGGCAAATAGATGTAATTCATGAACTTTTGAGGTCGATTTTTTTAGTACTCTACTGAGAAACATACAAAATATTTGGAAGCGCAGCTGCAGTGCCACTGTTGCGCCACAGGCGCGCCACTTTTGCAGACTAGATCAATATCTAGTATAATATAATAATAGTTAATACAATTATTAATCCACTAGGATTAAACTTTTACCAAAAAAAAAAGTCAACTCAAGAGCAGCTATTTTCCGCGATTTAACCTTCACTGGATTCGCGGGGTAGGAAATTGATTTACTTCCATTTTTATTGACATGGATTTCCGCAAAGTAACGCCTGAATCTATTAATTATTTATACTCGTGGTACAGCCGGCGCCCTCACTTAAGCATCCATTACATAATAACGTAATGTTTTTCAAAGATTGCGTGATCTTCACCTCTCCTACCAACGCTGGGCAACCCCAAAACAAAAACGCTTAGCGGCTGCATTCAACTGGGACGCCAACAGAGACCCATCGCAAAAAGTCAGCATTGACATTCAGCTAGACAACAAGGGAACCTGGCATCATGGCGGTTACGTCACTTTTTACTATCCCGGACGACTTGTTAATGGAGATTTTGAATTTCTACTTAGAGGTAAGTAAAAAAACTACAAATACCAGGTAATTAATGTTTTTGTCTAAAACATTATTATTTATTTATCCATTTATTTTATTGCCTCTTTCAGACTGGTTCTGCCAATGGCACGTCCGCACAAGCTGGTCGAATGAAGCAAACATCTTGTGGCGCGTCAAAATGTACTCAGAAGTCAACAACGAAACCGTCTACGCTTTAATATCCAGCTTGAAGACGCCTTTTGGTGGCTGGCAGGATACTAGCTTTAATGTTATGTGAGTAGAATTTCGTTCATTTCGGCGATCTCAAAATGGTCATAATTTGTTGCCCGACGGGAGAGATTTTGATTTCACGTTATTATATGACCACCAGTGGAAAATTAACCTCATAAACCAAAAGCTTTGTTGGACGGTGTGCATAGTTTATTAAGGACTATTCACACACATCAGGGCCGTGTCTGAGACGTGAACGCGCCGTGCTGGTTTGTATGAACTCCGGGCCCGTCCTGCCGCCAGCCCGGACACGGACATATGTGAACGACTTCCTGTAAAATATACTCAGCCATATTTTTTTGAGCCTCTGACGAAACACGGACAGACACATCACAGGACAGTTAATCGTGTTGTACTGTATGTAATAACTTCATTTAAATATACAAGTCACGACACTTTAAACTGCACGACTATCTGTCGTCACGACATAATGGGAACGCGCCCTTAGTATAATTTTAATAAAATTTTGTCAAATAAGAGAACCCTAACAAATGTTTGCCATATTTACCTTTACCCACAGTTGGCGTTACCACGACAATCTCCAAGCAATAAACGGAAGTATGAACTGGCAGGAGGACTACCTCGCCTTCAGTTTGCTAGGAGATTATCTGTTCAAAGCTAACGAGTTTTCGGGCGAAATCAGCGCGATCATCAATTCGACTATACCCACTTTACCTAGAGCCGCTGCGATCGCTAAGCATAAGCAGATTTGGAAGAAGGAAGCCGAGACTTTATTAAGCTTTCAGGTAAAAAAAATTATATATTTAATGTATTTGTTATGTCTAGCCAATAAAATTTTGGCATAATATTAGAAGGCCCGTAAGTAAACTTTCTGTCGCGACGTTCTCGCTATCTGGATGTACATATTATGTATATAGAAGTGGCAATTCTGGATTAAGAAGATTATCGGATTGTTTATCGTAAGTCTATATAACCTGCCATCTTTGACAGTCAGGAAAAGTTTTGACATGTCGCGACATATTCTGAAAAAATTAACCAGTTTGCCCTATATCGACAGTGGAAAGATAAAACGATGCTAGTGATAGAAAAGAAAGTAAGGTCTTTAGAATTTACAATTTATACTTGTAATCTATGTAAATTGTTAATCTGTGGATAAAATTAATAATAATAGAAAGTCCATCGTATGTCAGTCCATTTTTTTCTGAAAAATCACTTATTGGGGCAGGGTGGTTACCCTCGTTTTCCGCCCAAAACAATTACTGTCAAATAAGTAATACTCGAGCACATAAAAAACAATGCCAAGTACGAAGATTCATTCGCAACAGGCGACTCTTAATTTTATCGAGTATTACTTATTTGACAATAATTGCTTTGGACGGATGTCGGACGTCGAACGAGAGTACAGGGCCTGATGGACCTAATATTATTTTTACAAAATTTATTGCATATAACTCATTTTCAACCTAATTCTCGTTTAGTTGTACCTATTACCCATGAACTATCGATTTTTTTTAAGTTGTATTCGCTTAGAAAATTTTAAAACTAACGACGTTTTTACAGTACAACGAAGACGGACTCCTTATGATAAAATCGTCTTGGAAATTGGATAAAGGAGAAAAGGAGAACAACGTTACTGGCACTGTTAAATTAATAACTCCGTTCAAAGTGAGTATACCTATATCGCTGTCTTTATATACCAACGCAGTATTGTAGAATGCTACGTTTTTGAAGTAAGCATATGAAGCAAGACTCGAATGGCTAAAACAGTAAAAGTGTTGAATCAATCAGTTTGGAAAACATATATAGTAAAATCATTGACTTACAATTATATGGACGTCGGGTCCGCGCTAAAAAGTGTCCGAACTTATAGGGCGTTAAAATCGTATACAGAGCGTCATTCACGCTTTAGTCTTCGTTTGTTCGACTGACAGCGAAGCAAGCAAAATTAGACAGTACTGCGATAATATTACAATTTAAATTCAACGTTTTAGCTTTTTCATATTCCTTTATATGTCACTACGCTTAAATAGGTTGACTTGGGACATTTTTTTCGTGGTTTTTGTCCAGTGTCAGATATGGTGTGAAAACCAAATTCCTAAACATTTTCACGATGGAAAAAAAACACAAACTTACCTCGAAAGGTTACAAGAAAACCGCTGTATTCAATATGTACTTTACATATACCAATGATATTTTTTTTATATCAACGAACTAAATAGAACACGTATACTATACGCTAAGCATTTTTCAAATTGCTTTAATGTATTTTGATTACCTACGAAATAAATATATTTCAATTGATTCGTAACTCATACAGGACTACAGAAACGGGCAGCTGGATACAAAATTCAGACTTGGACACAAAAGAGATCTCTACGGTGTCACTCTACTGCAGTTAGAGAAGAAAATTGTCAACATTTACGTTACTGGTAAGATACTTTGTTGTGATTATTTCGGGAGAACTGAGATTAGGAGGTAATTAGTCTAATGATTCCATACTTTGATATATCTAATTTAAGTAAAATGACTGTTTTAGGGAGGTCGACTATAGTCTTGACTTTTTGGAGACGGACTAAAATGATATTTGTAATTTTATAATGATATTATAAAATTTTAAATAGTCGTGTAGTTATGATCGACTGTTTTATCGATAGATTATGATAAAAGGTAGAATTTTGCCAAAAATGTCTGAATTGTGAATGTTACGACGTTTTAGTAAAATTACTATTTGCGTTATTGCCTTCTTCGTTCTTATTTTGACAGTTAGCCTACTACCATCGAAATCAATTTTTATTCGTATAAATTTTAGTACAAACTAGCGGATTTGACTATCTATGCGTATTGAATTAGCGTGAAAAATTTAAAATATATCTCCTCCCTGTATTTTTGATAATCATACTTGTAAATGCAGTATATATATGTAGTTGTAACTTACAAAAATTGACAATTCAAATTAACCTGTGCCCAGCAGTTGGATGAATAATGGGCTGATGACGATTGAAATTAAACAAGTTGGGCTATTTATTGCATAAGCGTGACCAACATGCAGTCGATAGTCGATAAAATATTTATCGACTGCAATCACTAGCTGCTTGCAAACGGGCAACACTTTTGCGCAATTAACTGTCATTTTACTCCATTTTCAAAAAATACACTATGTATGTGAACAACTCACCGGATTCTTTATGATAAAGTTGTTGATTTATAACAGAGCACATCGAGCTTAACACTTTGCACCGTTCTTACTCCAAGTTGCGTACAACTGAATTTAAATCTTAAGTATCAAGGTTGAGGTGCTCTAGGCTCTATGCAAAACCTCGTTTGATTGACATAATACACCGTTTATACCTAAATTGTACTATCTCAAAAGATAATATGTTCGACATTCCGATACACACATAGTTAGTCTCTTGGGACATATATTACGTAGTTAACATTTAGGCGACAGCAGCTGTAGTGAAAAGGGGTACAAGTAAAAAATCTAACTTTACAAGCAAACGCGAAAGACATTTAATGCTTAGGTATCATATCAAGCTTTAACTGTTTTTCGCGTCTTCTTGTGAAGTTGGGTTTTTTACTTGTACCCCTTTTCGCTAGAGCCACAGTATAAGATCATTGCATTTAGGTCACCGACTTATCGGCTGGCACCCATGAGAACTTTAAAATGCCGAAACATGACGAGGATCCAAAGTCTGGATCGCTTTTTTTTGCGTTGAAGATAATCACGCTCGAATAATTAATTCCACCCCACAGGTCACATGCGTCGCATAACCAACTGCATGCTCACTGTGAACGTGACCAGCCCCATGGCGCTGGATTTGGGACAAACGACGGCGCGATTCGGTTTCGTCGAATCTGATAGACATTTAGTCGCTATGGTGGTTACTCCAAACTCTGTTACAGGTAATACAATTTCACTTGAAACTCGACATGTGATAAAGGCGCCAAGTTTGGTATAAGGAATAGACGGGTTTGTCGTCTTCGCCGGTAAACGAATTGAAACCTAAGTCAATACCAGTTTCTTCAATTTAAGTTCCTTTAAAGTTACATACAGACATATTACAAAAAAATTTTGAGTTTGGCAAGTTCTCTCACGAGCTCCGCGGTAGAGAGGCTTGCGCACCCGTTTTCATAGTATAGCCATCTCTGAGGTTCGATTCCCGGTCGGGTTAATGTAGAAAACTAACTTTTACTATATTGTCTCAGGTCTGGGTGTTTGTAGTATCTTCGTTGTTTCCGATTTCTATAACACGAGTGCTTTGGTATTTACTTTGGGATCAGAGCAACGTATGTGATGTTGTCTAATTAATATTATATTATACATATATCACACCTGAGTCTTCTAAATGTAATATTAGCAATATTACTACAAAGTTTATAAAGTGATGTTTTATTGTAAAGATATAAAATTATGAAATCAATAAATGATAAATTTATGAAAAATCTCACAGGTGGCAGTTTAAACCCAGAATAAAGATCTACAACAAGCACATGGATAAATTCATAAGATCTGCTGACTCGGTCTGTAGCTCAATTGATAAGAGCGGTAGCCACGGTGAGACAACCGACGCTGGTTCGAGTTCAGTCAGATCGAAGAATTTTTTCTTTGTGTTTGTTAGATCTTTGTATCAATAATCATAACAGACTAGTGGAGCATTTTCACGAAAAAAGAATATGCAATAAAATAAATATTGCACAATTATGAAAATTTGCCAAGATTATACTATACGAAGATTGGTTTGCTACCTATTCTATAGTATGTGTATTAAAAAATCCATGTTGTAAAATCAAGTAATCCGTGGATAATGCGCCCCTCCACCCGCTATTAAAAGAAGCTCGTGAATCAATCACATAAAATACAAAATAGTATTTTATGCAATGTTATATAATGAAGGTTCTTAAAGTCGAGCACCGTGTTTAGGCCACAAGGCTTTACCGAGTGGCCTAAGTAATTGGTACGAGATTTTAAAACCTAATTATGTAATGATTGCGTACAATAATTTTTCTACGAGTAAATAAAATAATTAAACACAACCAATATTTGAGTAGTGTCATATTTGTATTTTAATTAGCAAAAATACAACGTTCTTTTTTTGAAGAAAAGATTTTTTCATTTCACGAACGAATACCATAGACAATACAATTTTGATTCTGAACTAAAAGGAGCGCCTTTGTGACATGGTTTATGAAATTATAAATGACAAACTAAAGTACAGGAGTACAAAATTTACATTTTTTCGCGACTCCATCTGTACTAAAAGGACCACTGTCAGTTTAACAACAAGATAGATTACCTATTAATTTCACGTATTTCTACATAGGTATCGAAGTATTACTAAAGCTGTACAGTCTTCAAGACTTCCACATATTCGGCCATGTTGCTCTACCCATACAATATCTGAACAGGGCTATGGTTACTGCCAAGCGAGCTACGGAAGAGGTAAGTTCTATCGCTTGTCAACATATATGTTAATAAGGACAATATTAAACCTCCATCTAAAGACGAACCACAGTGGCGCCTTACATGAGAACAATTCAGTACTGATTCTCTGTTCTATATTTGGTGGTGTTCTGAAAAATCCTTCTATTCGTTACGATAGTAATCGTGTAATACCAAATTCCAAATTCCATTTATTTGCCACACACACAAAAAAAAAAACAAAACATGCAAATGCATAATCTCAGTACAGAGTACTAAAAAAACCGACCTCAAAAGTACGTGGAATTACATATGATTACCAAGTTTTATTGAAATCAGTTACCGGAAAGTGCGCAATCCATTCACCCGGATTCATCCCCTATTTCGCCACTATACGGGACTTGATACAGGAGATGATAAAAATCGGTTCTCACTACTCAAAGTATATTAAGAGAGAAAAACGCATTGAATTGGAGAATAGCAAAATCAACCATTAAAATAATTGCTCCTTCTAATAAAATTTAGGCGCTATTTATAAAAATGAATCTTGATGCGTGACTCTTAGAGGTGGATTGTTTTCTTCAAAATTAAATGAGACCACTATAGAGGTACCCTTTTTCCAACAAAAAAGAATCATGAAAATCGGTTCACAAATACCGAAGTTATTGTGTAACATACATACAAAAAAAACATACAGTCGAATTGAGAACCTCCTCCTCCTTTTTTTGAAGTCGGTTAAAAATCTTACATATAAATAGTAACTAAAAACGCAATACTATATCTATGGTCACAAATGTGAGGCGAGGATACTGAGCTCAGTAAACTGAGTGATTTTCAGCCAGAACCTACCTGGCAGGAGCTACGTATAATACCTTAGTATAGTGTAATAATACCTTTGTTGGAAACGTGTTTGATGGACAGTAATAACAATTTTTTTAAATCTATTAACGTGACAGGTATTGCACTCTTATAGTTGTCTATGCACTGTAGTCATTGTACCATAAACCTCTACAACTGTCAACATCTCCACAACCGTTACGACCATCATTCAACCAACACCACCAATAGGTACATTCGCTGTTACCATTACAACTCAACACCATTACGACCACTGACTCTAATGCTATTATTTAAATCTAATACCACAATCACTACCACCAGAACAATTGCCACTCCCCCACGCATCGTCACTACCTCTACAATCACTGTTTCCACCGCTTGTTATTCTTAATAGACAACAGATATTGTTGTTGTAATGAAAGCCAGTAAGTAAGTAATAACTTTAACCCTCTCTCCAGGTCGATTTTCGCGTAGGCTGGGGGACCATGGACTTCGGTTTCACAGGCATATGGCAATGGCGATCACCGATCAACTTTGTTTATCTATACAAACTGTACACACCGTTGGAAGGATTTGAAGAAAACGGTTTAGTGCTTAAGAATGTATACGGCCCGGGACTGGATACTGAATTGTCTATACGACTTTCTAAACACAAGGTAAAAAACTAGATAACATAAATAATATACAGGCTGTAATATAATAACACTTTGAATATCAATTCAAAGTGTTATTGCACTATTATACTTTCATCGGATTTTATTCAGATGCTCTTTGCCATTAGAACAGACCGGACGCTTTCAGTCGACTCTATATACTTCCATATATAGAGTTGCTATTACATTTTTTACTTATTGGGAGGAAAGCCGCTAAAGTTACAGTCACGAAAGATAATTTACAGCGTGATTATTCCATCGTTGGCGTGTTCGCCATCTAATTTAGCTATGTCAGATGAAGAAATGCGTTTAGATACGGACTGAATTGAAATGATTAATAACCGGAAAAATATTCATTTTTAGTTATCTATAAGAGGCACATTTTATTTACTTTATATTTTTGTTAACTTGCTTATTGAAGTGGAGTAAATGTTATATAAAACAAAACTACAATAAAGTACATTTGTCAAAATTCAAGTTATTATAGTGGAAATTAATATTCGTGTGCGTTCGGAAATCCGATGATTGCCGAGGGTAATCGCGAAAATAGAAGCACTTAAGCAAGTATTAACAGAATAGATAATAATAATAATAATAATAATAACGCACACACTCAACATAGCCCCGCACTAGGGAAACCCTGTGTCGCGGGTGCCATGGACACACACATACACAACCACAAATTACACCCAAACTCACGAGAGAAATAAATGTAGGTCATACAAATATTTCTCCCGGCCCGGGAATCGAACCTGGGACCTCTGCGTGGCAGTCCGGCGTGGTAACCGTTCGACCACCGAGGCAGTTCAGAGGCAGAGGCAGAATTTAAGAAAATGTTTTATACACAATTGTTGTAACTGCAAGGCATATCACAAAAACTCCTAATCAGAAAATATTACGTTTTAACCGTATAAGCATATTTACCATTACAACCCGCTTTCTGCCAAACAGTGTTCATTGTACGGCCTAACTATCTGAGATTCTTCCCTTCCAGTTCGGCATAGCAATTCTCCTAAAAGACAATGGCAAGGGTCTTGTAGAAGTTCTCCAGGAAAAGTTCAAACACAAAACGGAATTACACGATACACTCATAGATAATTTCGATACGACTGGTCGCGTCGTACTCGACACCTTATACTATCCTAGTATCACTTTCAACGCGCATCTTACGAAGGTAAGTTTTTTTATTTTTACCATTACCAACATGCTAAAAATATAAATCGACCCCTCCTACGTAAAATATCGTATGTCGAAATTGCCAAGTTTAAAGGGAAGCGTTTTAAAGTTCTGAATTCACTGAAAGAGTGATCATCGAATAGAGTAACGGGCTGTGCCGAATAAAACTGAGAAATGCTAAAGTCACGTGTTACGTTCATTTCAGTGGATTCAGAACTTTAAAACTCTCCCCTGTAAACTTGGCAATTTCGACGTACGATACTTTACGTAGGAGGGGTCGAAAATTGATCTACCGGTTCTTTTTTTTTATCAAAATCTTGAGTCTTGATAATACCTAGTGCCTGGAAAAAATATGAACGGTGATTAAAAAGTCAAGTCCTGTGTGTATTTTTTATGATATTAACTGATGGGACGAGCGAGTCGTGCGCGTTGTGGCAAGCGACACGCCTGCCCATAACAGTTGCAGTACCGCTCAGAGATTTAAATCGCGGAGATCTGAGAGGCACTGCCACTACGCGCGACTCCCTGAGACATAAGTTGAAAAGCATCACCGATTTTCACAAATTTCACCAGCACCGTTACACTCCAAAACCGGAACGCAGTAATAATGCTCACATTGCTGCTTGACGGCAGTACTTCCCTGGACGAACTCTTTCACAAAGAACTCTACTGCTACTAAATTATGCTAATAAGATTAGTACATCGCACTTCTGAGAATGAGTCCTTTAATATACGGGATTAGGCCTTAATTCACCATGCTGTTACTATGCCAGTTGAGTCCTAGAGCACTTTCGCGAGTTTTTTTTTAAGCTAGTTTTTAGGTACCTCTGACATATGCATAGGGATCCTTGTACTGTTTTTAAGCAAGTTATAGTTACTTAATTAACTAAACTTCATCATGAATCGTAAAGAATTACACCCTTACTTCAGTCTATGGGAAGTTATACTTTATACCAAATACTCTCTCATGCAGCCTGTTCTAACTTTCTTTACAGTTCGTAGGAGTCGACGAAGAAGATATCCTGGAAGTGAACGCGACCTTACACCTTCCTAACCAACCGCCTATTGTGTTAACGGACATATTTGTTCTAGAGGTAAGTTTAGATCTGCTTTTGTATGGCTAATACGTATGCCCGGTGTGGCAACAGACTCTGGTTCATGACCAGTCAGACCGTAGATTCTTTTTGTGTTGTTGTTTTTCTTTGTTTGAATAATAATAAGTATTTTCATTAAAAAAATGAAGTGAAAAAGTCATGATATTTAATAAAAATAAAGACAGAACAATACCTTTAATGGTGATTCTTTCTATCCAAGATACTAAACAACGTGGAATACATTCTTAATTCGCGCTAAAATATACGATTTACTGTACAAATTATATATTGACCAATCAGCCGATTGTATTTAAAAAAGAAAAGAATGAATGAATGTCGAAGTAATTATCACAATATATCACTATGGCGGCGGCTTTACTACACGGATTGTTATGATAATAATAAATAAAAAGCAAATAAAAATATTTATCCACACATATCATAAACTCTCTATAATGTGTTCAAAAACCGCTAATTACGACCAGCATAAAGGTAAACTGTTTTGTTGTTGTGTGAAAATTTTATTATTGCTTCATAATAACAACGAATTTAAAAAAACATCGAATTAGACGTTATTATTACATTCAAATTTCGATCATCTCTGAAAAACCAAACAATTTGACTGGACCTCAATTCTAATATCAGTCGAGATGATGTTTTATTCGAAATGAAATGTCAGTAGCAAACAATTTTGACAATTTCACACGTTAGTTGATATCGAACGATATGATAGTTGGGGCCGATTCTAGTTAGTCTATAAATTAAAAATAAAAACTACGATTGTGTGACATGGGTGAGAAAAGTTTTTATTTGCCGCCATTTCACCAGTCGTAACATGCGGTTCCTGAACACATCACATAGAGCTTATAATATGTGTGTAGATAAAGCAGTCTATGTAACTGTACATAATTAGGCATTAAAACACTCGAGAGATGTTTTCATGAAATTCTCCCCTTAACCTTAAACCCTCACTCGTATTTTAATGCCTTTCATTATGTAACAGTCACATAAACTACTATATTTATTTAGTTCATAATTCAGCCTTAAATTATATAATAACATCGTCTGTAGTTACATCTAAAGTGGAGATAGAATCGTTAATCATCAGATTAGTAAGGATCTAATAATCAGATTAATCTGATTTTTAGATCCTATATTTTAGGTGAAATTCTTTTTATGGCAGGATATGTATGACGTGTTCTAGTTAGGTACAGAAAAACTTTCATAAGACGTGTTATTTAAAATATTCCAAAGTTTACATAGGGACAAACTAAACTTAAAAATGTTGAAGACATTTGATGGAGGAAGAACCAGGGTAGACTACTATGACAAGCTGGTCCTCTACTATAAGTTTCAGGTGTTGCTATTCGTTAGGGGCCGTGCAAAATATTTAACAATTTTGTAACGAATATTGTACTTACATTGTAAAAATTATACAGCGCCTCTGGCGGTCACACAATTTATCATACGAATGTTTTACCTATTATAAACTTTGTAAGCTCATGGGAGAGGCAATGATTTCACTTTTCTCTCAGTCGTATTTAAGTAAAGGAAGTATTAAATCTTTAGGATTTAAATATCGCGTCGAAAATTAATGGTTTTGTCCTGTTAAGATTGGCTCTAGTTCGTTCCGTGGCATAGTTGGCATAGCATCCGGCACGGTTTGCTGAAAGATATTGGTTCGGATACAACCGGATCGAAGGAATCTTTTCTGAGTTCGATCTTGGTGTTAATAATTATAACAAACTAGAAGAGTAATTACACAAAAAATAATTGAATGCCAATTCAATACTAATTTAATTACACTTAATAGCGACATCTCTGGCCAGGGTTGGTAGCTGTAAAGTTACCTAACTGGGTGGCGAAATACTTTCATAGATTTCTCATAGATGGCGCTACGGCTATATAGTCGTTAAAACCAAAAAGATCCGACAACAAACGCATAGAAAATGGCCGGATCGAAAGAATATTTGTATTAATAATTATATTATTGTTTTGTTTTGTTTTCTAGACCTACACAATAATGCAAAACACATTGACCCTTGTGACTCCATTTCCATCGATCAAGGAGCTGAAGTCAGTGTACACGGTCGACATTGAGTTAGGTGCAAAGTTCAACATCACTTGCACTACGTTGCTTTATAATAGTACATATTGGCATGAGGTAAGTATATGGAAGTTGTAAAGGTATTTATTTATTTAATTGCATCATGGATAGCACAAGGATGGATAGCACCCTGTTAGGGAGTTGCAATCTATAAATCGATTCACAATAAAACACCGACAGTATAAAAATCTAATTAGTTAATTCATAAGGCCTACTTATTATATGCTAATATCGAAAGCCGCGCGGTCGGAGCGCAGCGGGCGGGACTACACACAATACGTATAAACTGCTCTGTCGCCGGCGCACGCCGCGGTGCGCATCAGTAGTGAGTGTATCATGACTCATGGAGTAAGTTGCGCGCGCAAACGTGTCCTTATAAAAGGTAAAACGTTTAACTTGCAGTAACTTTTTAAGAAAAAAAAATCATTACTATAATAATAACGCACACTCTCAACATAGCCCCGCACTAGGGAAACCCTGAGTCGCGGGTGCCATGGACACACACATAGACAATCACAAATTACACCCAAACTCACTACAGAAATAAATGTAGGCCATACAAATATTTCTCCCGGTCCAGGAATCGAACCTGGGACCTCTCCGTGGCAGTCCAGTATGACAACCGTTCGGCCACGGAGGCAACTCTAATTTTATTTCTTATATGGAAAACTAGAACCTTTCAGCTTTCTATATTACAAATAAGTTGAGAGCTAAGATTTTTTTAATACTTTAAATCGGTCTCTGTAATATTATCCAAATACGTGTTAGACGTTTTACCTTTCCAGTGTCGAAGTATAAATCAACAACTATAATGTCAAAAAATAAATATGCAACAAAATACCTATTATCTTTTCTTTTAAAAAAAACCTAAATATTATCTGTATTCCACAAGAAGTGACGATCGATTGGAATAAGGAATCGTCTATGTATGAGGGGTTTAATCGAATGATAACTTGTACTGCTTTCAGATATCCTACAGAGTATTCTACGAGTACGAATGCGGGGAAGACGACACGTACCAATCGTACCTCGCTTCATTAGGAATCGTGACGCCTTTGCCGGTGCTGCCGGCGCTTGACGCTCAAGTTTCTGCACGGCTGGAAGACGCACTGTGGAAAATGTCCGCAGATATCTCTATGCCGTCGTTCACTGTTGCCGCAAGAGGACGCCTTGAGGTACTTGACTTAGACTTACCCTAAGACTACGTGCGCACTAAATCCAACCAGATACACCCGCGAAGACCTTCTGAAGCAGGAAGTCTTAACCTTTTTCTAGTCATGGACCCCCTCTCAAAATTTCAAAGGGCCCACGGACCCTTTCCGAAAAGATGATGAAGAACTTCTTGCGGTGCACGGATAAAACACCGCAGTTTTTTGTTGTGCCGCCAGGTTTAGATTAAAAAGTATGCTTTTTATAAAATTTTTAATAATAAATAATAATCTCGCTCGCTCCTATAATGGATAGCGTCAAATGGTGCAAAATGCAAAAAGCTCACGTACACTGCACCTATTCACTCACAACATATTGTATACCAATGTTTATATTAACGCAACAAACTGAGTAGGCTCGACATGAACTCTGGCCTTCATTGATTACCCTTAATTACCCCTTAGAGGTTCATCATCACTACAGGTTAAGAAACCCTGTTCTAAGGGTAACAGATATAGGAGTATAAAAGTGTCTGCTTGCTGGGCCAAAGAAATATAACTCCGGTTTGGTATTTTATTGGTTTATGTTGTTGACTGCTGCACGATCAACATAACCCACAAAGTACCATATGTTAACCTTCCTTTGTATTAACAATGTGTCATGTTTTTTAAAGTAAATTAACTCAATACAGTAAAGACAGCTTTGTGCACAATATTATTTTATTCCAAAATAAAATACAATTTTGAGTAACTCCGAAACGTCCTGAAAACAATTACGTCCTCAAGCTATTTTATCTTAAATAATAGTGTTGTAAGCAATTAATCGCCGAATTTCAGCGAGTCACTTCGATGTCTCAGAAAAAATATTGACTTATGTAGTTGTTTTATTGATGAATATACTTATTTACAGTAAATTCTTGTAATAAACCATTTATGAATATTATAAAATCAAAATTAAAAGAATTGGATACAATTCATCGGAAGGAATTGCTACAGATTTACAAGGAACTCTGTAAATGAATTGCTTTTAACTGAATTGCACGATTTGGCCTTTTAGGCTCCCTGAACTACAATGTACTGAATAATAATCACAAACTCTAAAAACTTTGAATCGATTTCTCGTGAAAATTACAACAATAAATTTGTAATAATGTTGTTAAAGATGCACAAAATGTCAACATTTATGTTAAAAATTGTACCTTATCGCATTTATCTAGCGCAATTTATAGTTCAAATATTGACAGTTTGTATAAATTAACCAGTAATCGAGTATTATTTTGGCTTCACAAATCACCTTTTTTGTGTTCTTTCGTGAAACATGATATAAAACTTGTGAATTTGTTTGCATTATCATTATCATCCATGTTTTTACTTATTGTCATATTATGTAAACAACAAATCAATATTTTCCCTAACAGCTAGACGACCCATTCGTAGAAACATCAGGCAGTTTGAATTTGACCTCGCCGTATCTGGACGACTACTATATCAAAATGATGTTCAAGAAAGACTTCTCGGATGCCGAGAACTTGATCGGTGGCGGAATACAAGTTGAGCAGGGAGAACATAATAATTATGTGAGTTGTACGGTTGCAACACCTAGTACTTACTTTTTTAATCAACATTCGTGATTCTTTTGTTTGTTAAGAATACTCTATCATCATGTTCAACTACTACCGTGGCTACACGCAGAGGTCCCAGGTGCGATTCCCGAATCGAGAGAAATATTTGTATGGCCTACATTTATATCTCTCGTGAGCTGGAGTGTAATTTCTGGTTGTCTATGTCTGTGATCAACGTCATCTAAGAACTCGCAATTATATACTTTTAAACTTCACGTTGCATTGCATACTAACATTTGGAATAGACACGTTCACAAACGAATAGGTATTTTTGACATCACTTTTTTCCACTTGTGCCACCTAGAGTAGGTTTCGGCCAGGTTGCACTGGCCGTGGTCACGGGCTGACTGGTGATGCGGTGTTTGCATCTCCATCTCGGCGGTGGAATCGTCATCCACCCACATAATATTTTTTTAAACTCGAAATTAAACAAAAATTCGTTTCTCTATATCGCAACTATGTAACTAAAACAATGGAAGTGCCTTAAGACTCCATTACCATCAGAACCGCTGTGAAAACTAACACATTCATAACTTGAAAGAAAAATTGATAATGATTGGTCGTAGTAGGTCAATGGTTTTCTAATATCACAGCGATTACAATTGTTCAATTGGTGGAATTGCATTTTTAAACTCGAACTGCATTATTGTTTGTATTCACAGCTATTCGCTGATGTAACCTGGCGGCCGCCACCAAACCGCTATATGTTCTTCAAAGCCCGTGGCGCGTTGGTCCCTGTCCTTTCACCCTCTGATGTATCAATATTGTACAACCAAGATGACGAACATAAAACGCTGACTGTGGATTTAAACAGCGAGAATAACACTTACTCGCTTAAGGCTGACCAGAGACAGTCGAGTTTTAGCGCTGCGTTGAGTACACCTTTAGAGAAATACAGGTTAGTGATACACTCATATGGATCGCTAGCATAAATAAACCACATAAAACTAATTGAACTGTGTTTTCAAATTACAACAATCTTAAACGACCATGAGCATGACGGTATCGCTGTTACTATTAATTTTTGGCTTATTACATTTTGTTATTCTTGTCTTAAGTGTAGCAACAACCTATTGTTTTTTTTTCTGTTTGATCCAATTATTGATTTATAAATGCATTATGGCATTAAGTACGCCAATTGTACTTTATTGTATTGCGCCGTGTGTCGTAATGTAGTAAATTAAATCTAAATAAAATTAAACGGTAATAAATTAATTTCAGGGCAATGAAAATCATAAGCGAATTCGAAGGCGACAACATTCGAGGCTCGTTTGTAACAGACTCGATTGAGTATGGTATCACAGGAAAAGTACTCAGCCGAGAACCGCTTCATGTAAGTGCTATTCTAACACATACAAATATACCCTCATCCATGCCTTCACTTCAGAGCAAGTGGATTACCACTCGTTTTTGTTAGATTTGACAGAAGAAAATTTTGAATTTTTTAGCCGGCACCATTTACCATAGCAAACAACACCGCTCTAGTCGAAAACTTTCGGTATTTACTTTTAAATGTTACTCAAGTCAAAATAACGTGAATATCAATAAAGATTTTTGAATTTTCATTCCATCATTTTGTAAACAAAGCAATTAAATAAATACCGTGAAACAGTCTCAACATATTCACTACATTTATGTAATTATTGCGTTTCTTTTAATCTTTACATACTTAACATATTTCAAAAACTTGCACTATGGTAAAAATTTAAAGAAACAGAGGCTACGAACATTATATGCAAACTTTTTAAAAAGGTTTATGATCACTGCATTATTTGTTTACGTTTTTTCTAATTCTATAAAAAGAAAGTATTGTAAAAAACAATTTACAATACACACGTTTACTGTAAATTACAGATATCACTAACTTTAGTGCCAAAGGGAAAAGGCGAGCCATCAACGATGACCATAAAGTTCGAAAACTCGCCCACACTATACGGCCTGTCCGCCCACCTCGCTGGACCAGTGCAAGCCACTGTACGTGCCAAAGCAGAGTTCCAAAATAACTTCACTGATATTAACTTCAATGTAAGTACTACGTCTCACGAGACCAGTATAATATTCGTAAAACTTTTACTGTGAGACCCACTCAAATCGCCATAGCAAAAAACTGTAAAACAATACATCTGTATTACTACGTAATTACGATCGCAATAAGAGTTGTTTGGTTTCATATATTAAGCATGCTGTTATATCAGCTAATAATGTGGACCTTATATATATATTATATAAATCAGTTGCCTCCATGACTGAACGGTTACCATGCTGGTCTGCCACGCAGAGGTCTCGGTTTCAATTCCCGGGCCGAGAGAAATATTTGTATGGCCTACATTTATTTATGTCGTGAGTTTGGGTATTATTTGTGGTTGTCTATGTGTGTGTCCATGGCACCCGCGACACAGGATTTTCCTAGTATGGGGCTATGAGTGTGTGCGTCATTATTATTATTAATTTTACATTATATTAAAATGAAAATGTACAATCAAAAGTAAATACAAGCTGTATTTTGCAATTGAAATACTTCAAAACACTAACTGTGCTTCTTACACCAGTCTGGTCAATGCATGCAAGCGAGATGGCAAGCGATTTTCAGTCGCGCTATGCGTTGACGATGTGATGGATAAGGTTCAATTTACATGGCCGCGTAACGAATGAAAACGAATTTTTGTAACCATAGCATAATTAACTCTATGTCAATTGTATAACTTACTCCTTCTCCGTCAGTTATGAGCTGAAGCCCTATCTTAAAGTTCGTATATCGACAGTAAATCGCATAATTCATTTTCCCAAAATTAAATGTAAAATAAAATTTCATGGTGTTCCTTAAATTTAAGATACCATGTTAGTTAAAAGAAATAAATCCTCATAATAGACTCTTTCGATCGGCATCATAAAAATATAGGATATTTTAGCTGGTCGGTCCGATTCCCAGATGAGGCAAGAAACTTATTAAAATATTTTTTTTACCTCGACACTAAATAAAATATGTTTTTATACACAATTAAGTCCCGAATTTAAAGTCAAATAATGTGTATAAATCGTGAAAGTTTAAATCAGTATAACTTATTAAAATTCTGAATGCGGCATGCATAGGTACTTTTAAAAATAAAGTCTCCATAAAGCAAAAATGTATTATCTACAACACATTGTTAGTACTTTTTCCCGTGTCCGAAAACCGTGGAACGGTCCGTAAAGACGTATAAGGAGCAGTTATGAGCTTTATTGGTATATTTTAATATATTCGCAGGTCGATATACCCCGTTCGAAATACAAAGAGATCTACTTCAAGTCTCGCGTGGACATCTACCCCGACCTAAGGAGAGTAGTGACTGTACAAGCCGCTACCCCCTTGAAGAGGTTGCAGTTTGTCAAGGGAGATACTGATTTCGTGTAAGTATCGATTGAGGAATACATGACGAAACCCCGAGTTTGATTTTTGGTAATTTATTTATTTCTTTTTATCCTAAAGAGTAAATACAGCTTCTATCACAACGTTATAAACTCGGTAAATTTAAAATACAGTAAATAGCGACATCTCTCGCCAGGGCTGGTAACTGTAAAGATATCTAACTGGGTGATAAAACTTTCATAGGTTTTTCATAGATGGCGCTACGACTAAAAAGTCGTTGAAAAAATGAAATACAAAGATACGACGCAAGCACATTGAAAAATTCGTGAGGTCCACGGGTTCGTTTCGTGGCTTAGTTGGTATAGCGTCTGATTTGGTGAGCTAGAAGACGTCGGTTCGAATCCGGCCGGATCAAAGGAGTTTTTTCTGAGTGTTCGTAATCTTTTTGTTGATCTTTGTATTAATAGTTATAACGTTATAAAAATTAACAAAAATTCAAAAAAATGTGTAACCGTAGATAACACTGCTACAAGCCTCTTTTCTGTTCCAGATTTGGTCCTAAAACAGGATATTTGCTGTGTAAGTACGAGCTACCAGACATGAAAGGCGATGGTGATCTCAAATGGAGCTTTTTACTTGGAGACCTGTACATAAAGGTATCTACCATACTCAAATTTTGCCATGTCCTCGTCATGCCTACCTCCTCGACTAACCCACACTTATCATGACTTCGATCTTGCAATCTACTGCGCAGCAGTCTCTTCTTTTTTTACAGTTTTTCACGGGATTAATTGTACGTACAATTAAATATTTTTACCAA